TTCGTCTGTACTACGAATACGCCACAAATCTCATTCTTTAGAACCATTACTGCTTTTTTTTTGCTAACATCACGACAACAGCATTCAGAAGATATCGAAATTTGTCGTCGTCAGCTGTTAGGATGCCTTGGGCCAAGGTGGCGTTATTATTGCTTTTTGTGGAAGGTCGGCTGCTTTAATGTGGCCATGTAAGGTCACCATCAGTGCCACCCACGCTGACTTGTTAACCAATTTGCTCCGGTTGTCGAAAATGGAAAGACCTTTGATAAATATTTCCTACAGTAGATCGAAGGCGCTATTATTTAGCTTATCATGAAACTTCAGATTATAAAAACCGTAGAGCTAAAAGAATTATTGCTTCTATGTTATTCAAACATCACTTGATTCACGCAGTCGCCTATCTAAGCACAGGTTGAACATCACTTGGAATAGATGTTTGGAGAAAACGAGATTCTTCCAAAAGTTAATGGAGGACAAACATGGCACTATTTATGAGAGTTAATAGATCGAGAGAGACAGGAAAGTAAGAAATAATCTTAAAAAAATCTGTAAAGCCATGGGGGATTTTTATGGAAGACTAATGGTCCCACGAAAAGTAGAAAATGTCTGGTTAATTCAAGAAGCTTTCTCAGAATATCCTCTCATTTAGAATACCGCAGTCCATTCCTACCTTCTCTCCTCCATATGGCGACAACAACCACGACCACTGCAACAAAACATCTGTCCACACAATTTTCGTAGAGTGACTCAAATCTCACAGCATTGGGTCGAGAAAGATGGGAGAGAACAGAAAAAATGCAATGATTAAAACTCACCTCGTACATCCCATGAGGCACGACCAACCAAAGATGCTTCCATTCTTCTCGAAAGCGCCGCCGACGATCTTTTTCACGCCACGTCAAATACTTATAGGAGGCTCCACCTCCAGTCTGAGGCGTTTCCGCCGTTTTTGCCATGGGCGTTGCAACCTCTTCTTTCTTAATAGTGGACCGTGGTTTGTTCAGCGGTGGTCTTTTGGGTGGTGTGGACTGAGGTTGAAAGGGAGATTGCTGTTGCTGTGATGCTACATTGATGAGATTAAAGGTGTCGAAGGCTTTAGGGCAGGTATTGAGTGAGCTTTCAGGATCACAGCAACCAGAGTCAATGCTCTTATGCGAGGAAAGGCTAGGATTTAGGCAAGGAAAGAGGAGCCGGTTGGCCGAAAAGTCATTTTCGTGACTCGCCATTGTTCCCTGCTAAAGAAACAAGGAGTTTGATTAAGGTTTTTCAGCTACAAAGTATTTTAAAAGCGATATTTCCTCCCAAAGACATTAGCGATTTCTGAATATTTTTAGAAATATCCATTTCAATAGAAGAGGTCGATGAAATACTTTTTTGCCCTCGTGACGAGGCACTTAATTACTTTGCTTCAAATTTTTTTCGAAACTTACCAGAGGAGTAAAATCAGACAATGTATAAGTTTCAACCACCTTTTCTCTTCACAACACTGTCGCACGCACCCCCATCCTAACGCACCGCAAGCTTAGCTTCATCGTTTACAACGCGTGCGCAAGCGTAAATGCGCGTCCGTAAACTTGCGTACTTACGCACGCAGACGATAGTAAATTTTACCTTGGCGACAGATGCGCACGTGCGTGATTTTGTGCAACAGAGGCAGTGTGCGCCGCTAACGCCTCATATATGCTGGGGCTTGTAGATGGCGCTGACAGGGGTCCGATGTACCACCCTCACCATTGCACCGGCAGTACACGCCGACGAAACGATGTGGCCATTTTGTTTACGAAGGCAATTTTGTGTCTGTCCTCCCTCCAAACCGCCCTCAGGTTTGTGCAGTTGATGGGTGCATGGACCCTTTTGCTAGGCTCAACGTTTGGAGCAGGGACACTTGAACTGTGTAGACGAATTAGTGATAAATAGTCAATTTGTCTTCTATCTTTGATATTGTGCTCGCACCCTAGTTATTCTCACAATCGCGAGTACAGTCCTCCTGCCAGAGGTACAAGTAACGCTAACATGCCTCATGGTTGGGCTGCAGTTATTAAGAGACCCCGTTATAAATAGTAAAAACGCGTGCAAAGACATTGGCAACCCATTATGAGGCAATATGTGCGAGTTTTGTGCTATCGATTGCAGCAAGAAGCGATTCTTTCATTATTGTTTCCTTTCAGAATTGAAAACTGACTAGAGTAATGTAACAAGTTTTCTTAGTATTTTAGGCATGCACAGCATTTAACGTTTAAGGTTTCAAAACTCCTGCTGCTCCCCAAATAAGTTTCTGGCTGGAGTTCTTTCTAGTGGTGATGAGGGATCGTTATGGATTTCATAGTCCTATCGAATCCTCTTAAACTATGTTACAATGTTTTAACGATTACGTATTTATTATAACATCCAATCACTTTTCCTTCTAAAAGATAAACGTCGTCAAAAAATAAACAATCTACTGGCAGTAGTGCAACCAAGGTATCCTTTTAAAGACTTTCTAATTTGATTTGTGCTGTGGTGAGATCTGCTGTGGCGGAAGAGTTACCGATGGGCGCTAAAAGAACCCACGAGTAGCCTTGTAAGTAGAAGTAGGCAAGCAGGCAAGAAGGCGCATTTTTTGTAAAAAAAGCACTAAGGCAGCAGATTCCTCCTGTAATTATCAAATCCCTCCTCCTACCCCACACTCTACCTCTCTTCCCAAAGGCCATGCGACCAGAGGAGTGAGAAAAGGGGTCGCACTTGGATAAGTGGAGGCGGTAAAGTGGAGTAAGACTAAAAATTGTTGTCGCCTATTTAGTGAAGATACAGGAGTAATTAATGCTTAAAGTGGGACAAAACTGTCGTAGAATTGGTGCCTCATTGGCTAGTTGGCTTTGTTGAGCCTCTCTCCTTTGACACCTTTTGCCAAGTGTGATTTACGTTTTGTCGCTTTATCGCTTCTTTCCCCTCCACCCAAGTCCTCCATCCTTCCAAATGGTAGCGCAGGACGGTAACATGAGATTAAAGTGAGCCTGGTAAGAGGTGAAAATTAAGGTGATCTTAAATATCATTCCTGAGGAAGGACTCCTAAAGTAGTCCTAACGATGTGCCTTTTGGGCACATTGGAATAAAGGTCTCCGATGAATTAACTTCCGAAATTATGTACGCTAGGCTTGTTTTGAAACAATGGAGCTCCTATGGATACGTTTAGCGGTTGACAAATCTTTCTGATGTCCAATCAAATGTATATGAATCGAGCACCGGATTGAAATAGTGAGAGAATCGAGTACTATCATCAATAGTAAACAATGCAAACTTTAAAGCTGCATTTCAAAGTAAAATGAAGCCATCTCTCTATCAAGAAGGTTGTTTGTTCCTTAAGGATAACCTTCATTCTTTTTTAGAGGCTGATTATAGTTGCATTTTTAAAACTCGGACATGCCGTGGTCTAAATATAATGTCTTTAACGCATAAAAAATCAACTATACAGAAGTAGTGTAAGCAGATTTTTCTAAAGACTCATTCAGGAATAAGTGCATAATGAGTATAAATGTGTTTGAAATGATTTTTATTACATTACACTACACTACAGTACTTTATTTCACCATAGTGTTTTGCAAATACCTCATATGTTTGGATTTCAAAGAGGTAGACCATCCAACATCCCATTAGTTAATAGGCAGCATGCAATTAATCAATCCGATTTCATTAATAAGTTGCAAACGGACTTTCGGGTAGGAATCTACCAAAAACGCAAGACTGACTTACGAAGACCGGGAAACGAGGGTTCCACACGTAATTGTAAGGAATAAAGACGTATTGTCTGTAACACCAGAAGCAGTGCCAGCAGCAGTAGTAGTGGTAGTGGCAGCACAAGCGGTGTTAACAGAGATAAACTAGCAGCGGCACAGCCAAGCACAAGGTATTTCAACCTCTCGAGGGCACACGACCGCACGGCTGATACGCGGGCGCTCAGCGATTGGCTACTGGTAGCCACTGCCTGCTGCCAGTAGGCGCAACTCAGCGATCTTGACGCCAATAAGAGAACGTGTTGGCTGAAAGGCGCGAGCCTCGATGTATTGTGGCTGCGTAAGCGCGTGCGTTTGTCTGCATGCGTGCACGTGTGCAGCGCCAAGCTAAGAGTGAGGCCGAGGCCTGAGGGCCGATGGGAGAGACAGGAAAGGCCAAAAGGGTTGTGAACGCGTAGGGGGTGGTAATGGGGCAAAGGCGGCGGTGGAGGACTATGCACATCCACACGTGCGCACGCACGTATCTGTGTTCCCTTGGTTGAGAGACGAACAGGCGTGTGCGATACGTGTGTTGGTAAATGTGTGTGCATGTGTGTCTGTCCCACCACGTTGCGCGTAAAGTGAGAAAATTAGTGCTCCTCTCTCTCTACCGTGCGTTAGAGACGAGACGTGGGAACGCTCAAGACAACTAGGACAGGAAAATCGGCGCCGTTAATGAGCTGGAAGATAACCATCAAATTATGCTTCTTCATTGTCGGTTTGTAGCCGGGATCCTCTAGCCATGTTCTACAGATCATCGCATATGGCTTCCTTCCAAAGGCGTATAAGTTGATACGAAAGGAAAATTCGTGATACTGATTCAATAAGGGCAAAAAATTAAATTCTCTTATTGTAGCTTGATTTTAGCTCCATCATATATCACCATGACAAGCTCATCAATAAATGGGGGTATTGTCGAAGCGATCTGGTTATGGTCACAAGTGAGCGTCGAGATCTGCCATAATGAATGGAAATAATCGGTCTTTTCAAGCAACAAAGCCAGCAGGTCAAACACCACTCCACGTAGGCTGTGCGAAGTGTTCACGTATTTATACACAATAAGAATAACCTTATTCGTCAAGTAATGGGCATCCACTTAGGTAAATGATACTTGGATTCCTACTAAGCGTTTAAGGTGGTAACGCAAATTTCGGTTCTGTATTGTGAGAACAAAATCTGTTAATGGAAAAGGCGACAAGAGATAAGGCTGAATGTTGGCTTGCGTGTCCAACAAGGAGGTAGTAATGACACCCTAAGATGGTAGTGTGGTGTCCCGTTGCATCAGGTTGTTGACTTGACGTGTCTCCTGTTTTGCGGTCACTTTTGACATTGTCACCACCTCAGTTCCTTTGCGTCTTCTCACGGATTTCACCATTGGTCATACTGATACCGATTATGGATGTATCCGTGCTGCCTCTGTCAAGCACCCATCTCCAACTAGCCTAACTAGTACAGCACCCAGACTGTTTCGGACCTGGACTAGGAGAAAAGAAATTCTTCCAATCGCCGGCTTATTTTCAAACCATCGTCTCCACTTTCTCACCGCCTGCTAACCTTGTGCTTCTAATGCTCGCTCCTTTGATGTGAAGGGGGAGAGCTACGAGCCAATGTGGGCGTCCCACACTCTTGACCACGTAAGCCTGCAT